CTTATTGGGCTGTGCAGCTGTAAAGAACTTCTTTCAAGAGCAAATTGATGGTTTGTGTGTGGCACAACTTAAGTGTCTCACCTTAATGCAGTGATGTGAAAAGAGTGTTACTGGCTAGGCTGCAGGCTTCTGCAACAGTGCTGGAACCCTACAAGAAAATAATCTGGGAGCGTTTGCTGCATATCTGCCCTGCACCGTGATTAGAAGTGCTCCTAAACACGTTATGCTTTGTAAAACCATGTTGGTTGTAACAAGCACTGCTTTGATACATCTGTAAAGGGGATAATAAGCTAAACAATGTGGATGAGATTAGTTGTGTCTTTATGCTTGTGGTTACTGTGTAGCTATGTAATTTTTAAACTCCCAAGCACTTTAATGGAGGTGTTGATTTAAAATCTTGCTGACTGTGATACTGAACCCAGCCTGCATCTTCTAATGAAATTAAATCCAACTCATAACAAAATGCTGCTTTGTGAACTTACCCATAAAATGCTAGGTGTTCTGAGGCATGATTGACTGCACATTTCACCTTGATTAATGGTGGAATGCACAGGAGCACACAGAATGCAGCAGTCGGGTTAATGAGAAGTATTTTGCAAGACAGGCCATTTTCTTAATCTCAGTGTAAAGGATTATTTTGTTCATTTGCATTCTGATGATGGAATCCAGAATCTCGCTTACTGTCTCCATCTGAGGGAAGGAGGTGATGGTGCTGCCGAACTCATGCGTCTATTTATGCAGTCAGTGTGAAGTTCTCAGTAAATTCTTCAGTATCTCTGTTCCTTCAAAGCTGGGATAAGCCACTTGACGCTGGATGTGACACTGCTTTCACCTGCAGTGATGTTAAGGTGAAAATGAAGAGCAAGCAACGGGGCACATAGCGAGTTGCAGCTTATGTTGGTGGTGAAGGCACAGCTGTAGCACATGTTCAGTCTTTAGTTAAGATCAACTCATGTTGGAGTACATGGTTATGAACTGTATTGTAGCAGTAAAGGAAGATAAACACAAAGTACTGCACTTCAAGGCTTACACTTCTCCTAAAATCAGTGCCTCAAACTCTAAGTATTGTCTGCTGGACCATAATTAAGAGCTAAAAGGGCTCTGCTAAACAGGTTTTACATCTACATCATGGTTGCAGATGTGTACTGCTTGATACCTAATGTCCAGTCCTTCACCTGTCAGTCCTTGAGTGCAGAACTGGTACAGTACAGCTGTATTAAAGCCAGGTGTTCCGTGTCTTTCAGCATTTTACGTTTTCATTGCAAGTAGGAAGCAAAGGAGAATTCTCGATTTCTTTTCTCTGAAAAGAAAGCTTCCTTTCAAAAATGGGACTGATACGTCTGTGCCAACCTACTGATTTGTACTAATCCAGGGAGAGGAGTGCTTTCTCTTGGGTAGTGTTACTTTTTATTTTTGTATGAGAATCTTTCTGCTTGTGAACTCTGTGGTTCACTCTTCCATGTGGAAATTGGATAACGAAGTGAATAGTCTTCAGCATCAGTTTTCTAATTGAACTCACCCTTCCCAGATATGTGATTTCCTTGCCTTAAGCAAGTCATGCTCTCTCTGTGGGTGAGGTGTGGGTCGTACCTGAGGCAGCAGAGGTGGAACTAGAACGGTGGAGGTTGATATGCTTCACTGTGCTTCTCAGAAAGGAAGTTTTAGAATCATAGGATCATTAAAGTTGGAAAAGAGTGCTGTGATCATTTCATCCAACTGTTGTATACTGTTGGCTCACTGATGTGTACGTTGATTCTTCTTTCCAGAATATGGTATCAAGTTTTCGTGTTTCTGAACTTCAAGTATTGTTGGGCTTTGCTGGGCGTAATAAAAGTGGACGGAAACATGACCTCCTAATGAGGGCTCTGCACTTACTGAAGAGTGGCTGCAGCCCAGCAGTGCAGATAAAAATCCGAGAACTCTATAGGCGCCGGTACCCAAGGACGATTGAAGGACTTTCAGACTTATCAGCTATAAAGCCTGCGGTTTTCAATCTGGATAGCAGTTCTTCTCCCGTGGAGCCTGACCTGGCTGTTGCTGGCATTCACCCGCTCCCTTCGACTTCGGTCACACCTCAGTCTCCATCCTCACCCGTCAGCTCTGTGCTCCTTCAGGACACTAAGGCCCACTTTGAGATGCAGCAGCCATCACCTCCCATCCCACCTGTCCATCCCGACGTCCAGCTGAAGAGCTTGCCTTTTTATGATGTGCTTGATGTACTCATAAAGCCTACAAGTCTAGGTAAGTGTTTAATTGCATTGTAAGCTGCTTAATTCATGGAGTAGTTGTTGCTTGTGACAGTACTAAGCCTGGGTTTAAACTGCTTTTTGCAGCTGGGGGAATTTCCTTTTTTTGAATTTTTTTGGTCTGAAGAATGTGGATCTGAGGAATTTAGTTGATGCAAGTGAGGAACACCTCTGTCAGGGCCAGCAGAAAACATTCTTGCCAACAACCTGCAATCTCAGTTTCTTCAAGCACCTCATTCTTGAGTATATTTATTTGAAAATCACTTGGTTGTTTTGAAATTCAAGTTAAATTCAGTGTCCAACCTTAAGGGGTAGAAAATATTCCACAAGGATTTAGTAGAACAGTTTAGAAACGCTTTTAACATTTTGCCAGCTGTTTGCATCCCCCTGCTTCAGTTTTTTAATTAAGTACTGTAGGCAGTGACTTGTGCCTAAGTGAGCCACGTTCCTTCGTACCAGCGGGGCTCCAGCCCTCTGATCGTCCTCACGGCCTCCTCTGCGCCCCCTCCAACAGCTCCATGTCTTTCTTGTGCTGGGGCCAGGATTCAGGAAGATGATAGTGTGCCAACTATTGGCTCACAGTTAACCAGATTTACTGCCAGCCTTGTGGTCGCTTTATCCAGTACAATGGCAGAAATTAACTGTGAAGTGGTGATTCCCTTAATGAAACATTTGCTCTTCATAGCATTTCTAAAGCTGAGAAAAGAGCTGATATAAATAAGCTGCATGAGGTTTCACCTTTCCCTTGAGAAATTGGCTTCTGGTTGTATCGCGCAGGTGTTGGTGTGGGGCTTAGCTCTGATCCACACTTGGTTCAATAACAAAAACATTTCCATTTTAAACAAGTGCAAATATACACGCAGTATGTCATGCTTATGATCTGGTGCGTGTATTTGTTCCACCTGGACTTAGATTCTTTTTGTGTGAGGTCTGGGCTGGGGCTTCGAATATTGCAGTGTACACACATCTTGTGCTTGGCTACCACAGCTGTTTCTGCATGGAATAATTTTCCACTGCTCATTAAAAACTCATGGTGTGCATTCTCCTACTGTCATAGGATAAAATAGTTGTAAACTGGTATTTCTTTCTCCAAGTATTCAGTATTATATTTTGTTGTTGGTATCTTTCTTCCCCCAAGGATTACAGTGCAGCTTGCCCAGCTGCTTTAGTTCTGAGGTGTGAAGTGATATTAAGACTTCTGAGTATGGCTGAATGAATGATTTGTTCCTTTGCCTTCCTCTTGACAGTTACTTGCTGTTCAACAGCAGTTTGATTATGGACATAAGTGCCTTGTGCCTTGTTTGGGGAAAAACTCAATTGTAGAACCTCTTCTAATCATTGACTTTAGGCAGCACGG